CTAAAGGAGTTCATCACCACCAGACCAGAACTACAGGAAATGTTGAAGGGTCTTCTTTAAGAAGAAGCTAATGAAAAAAAGAATCTGACGAACTAAACAGATCCAGAGACACTGACGCATGCAACAGACGATCATATTTCAGAGGAAAGAGGGAAGGGGGGTGGAGGGTGGGAAGAGATTAACCAAAGAAGTAATATGCATAACCCATGGACACAGTCAATAACATGATGAAGGCCTGGGGAGGGGGTGGGAACGAAGTGGAGGGGGACATTTGGAGGAAAAAATGGGACACCTGTAATAATCTCAACAATAAAGATAAATTAAAAATAAATAAAATTATCTTTTAAAAAGCAAAAAAAAAAAAAAAGATGAAGATCACATAAAACTTCCTGTATTGTGAGGTTCAGAAAGCTTCCAGGTTGGTGAACACATGGATGTGCTGGGAGAGTGACCTTCACCAGAGGGCAGGGAAGTTCCATGTTCCGTCCCCTATACCTTACCTTGCCATCTGGCTGTCCTTGAGTTGTATCCTCTCATAATAAATGTATAATCTACTAAGGAAACTGTTTTCCTGAGTTGTATAAGCCACTCTAGCAAATTAATTGAACTGAGGAATGGTTCATGAGAACCTCCAATTATAACAGGCTAATGAGAAGGATAGGTAATACTACCTAGACTTGTGATTGGCATCTGGGGAGGGGGTAGTCTTGTGGAACTGAGTACATAACCTCTTAGATCTTATGCTATCTTTGTAGTTTCAATCATAAAAAAGCTTTCAATCATTAAAATGTCACCAGTCCTAAATTAGCTAACAACCTAACAGTTCTATAAAGCCCAGGGCAACTAGATAAGTGACGAAAGAGAAACAGTTCTTACTTTTCTCGTAATCTCTGAAGTTCCACCTTTAAGTCCTCATCCTCTATTTCTGATTCATCATCACTGCTCATTGGGGAAGATGGTGAATAGAAGAGTGAGCTCTGTGTTTGAGCACAGGTTTTTTCTTCACGGAGTGGTAAGCACTGATCACTCTCTGGATGAGTCTTTGCCACTGAGTTCCCTCTGCCAGCAACAGTGGCTGAAAATTCACTATCAGAGCTAGGCTGTTTCCCAATAGTAAGTCTCTCGCTCTCTTTAAGCAACGGTTCAGATCCAGACTGCATGCTACTTCCTGTGGCTGAGTTTTCTTCCAATTCCTTTTCTGGGGTTATAGAAGATACATCAGTGTCACAAGCTGTGCTGAAAGATGAGTAGTTGTCACCTTGCTTAGGAATTGTTTCATCTTCCTTAAAGGTTTCATGAAGAGCTTGTAAGTTTTCAGGAGAAAGTAAAGTTTGTGGATTGTGCACAGCAGGTTCCATTTCTACCAACTGAGCCTTTGCTGTTTCAGTAAAGGCTTGAGCTTCTTCACTAGAATGGCTTGTCATTTCATTGAAGGCTGGCCTGTGTTCTATTCCAATAGATGTCACTTTCACTGACTGCTGCTGAGGAACTGTAATCACCTGAGATACAAAAAGGCAAAAGTGGCTGGCTCTGCCTAGCTAAAGAATAAATCCACAAAGAAATTCAATGACAAGTAGATGTTCTGCTTGTGATGTACACATATCGATAATACCAAAGCCTTTTCTAATCTTCACCCAAGGATATTTTTTCCATTGCTTTTTCAGAGAGTGGAAGGGGGATCCCAACCAGGGCCAGGGATAGAGCTTGCAACGGAGGTACATGCCGTTGGCCAGAATTAAACCCGGGACCCTTCAGTCTGGGGGCTGATGCTCTAACCACTGAGCAAGACCACCAAAGGCGAAAATACCAAAGCTTTAAAATTCAATCTATACTCCCCATATTCAAACTTTTTAAAAATTTTTTAAATTTGTTGATTTTACAGAGACAAAGGAAGGGAGACAGAGATAGAGAGAGTGAGCAAGAGAGAGAACAGCATTGATTTGCTGTTCCACTTATTTATGCATTCATTGGTTGATTCTTGTATGTACCCTGACTGGGGATTGAACCCACAACCTTGGTGTATGGGGACAACACTCTAACCAACTGAACTACCCAGCCAGGACTTCAAAGTCTTTAAATAGGTCCCCTTGGGTAAAGAGAGTTGGCTTCGATTACTCAAATAAAATTCCACAATTTAAAAATTTCCATAATTAAAGATGCCTGGATTCTAAAAGGCATGAAATGGGATTTATAAAAAAAGATGACACAACCTCCCACCACAAAATAATGTTCCCTTTCTGTGCTCTCTTCCAGCTACTAAAATCCCCATTTCTTTTTTTAAAAAATTTATTTATTTATTTTATCTTTATTGATTCCAGAGAGAGAGGAAGGAAGAGAAAGAGAGAGAGTTGAAACATCAATGATGAGAGAGTTCGGCTGCCTCCTGCATGTGCCCAACAGGGGATGGAGCCTGCAACCTGGGCACGTGCCCTGACCAGGAATTGAACATTGACCTCCTGGATCCTAGGCTGATGCTCAATCGCTGAACCACACCCAGCCAGGCCCCATTTCTTTTTTTTAAAGGATTCTCTTATTTATTTATTTATTTATTTATTTATTTATTTATTTATTTATTTATTTATTTTCCATAACCACTTATCCCCCTATATAAAATTCCCGTTTCTTTAGACACCTTTACTGGATGGCTTCAAAAGATGAGGGGATGCAAATTAAATATGACAATGATCTATATTTAAAATGTACCATTGTCCAGCCGGCATGGCTCAGTAGTTGAGCATCGGCCATGATCCAGGAGGTCATGGTTGGATTCCCAGGTCAGGGCACATGACCAGTTTGCAGGCTCAATCCCCAGTATGGGGCATGCAGGAGGCAGCCGATCAATGACTCTCTC